TCCTCCAAAACCCAGTATATTAGGCAATTCTCAGAGGTTAGCCCAGCTTCAGTTAACGTATCAACTGTTTTTCTATCTGATGCATTTATCCTGGAGTATCTGGGTATGCTGTGATAGAGTTAAATAAAGGTAAAAGTTCCAGTAGAAGGGACAAGCCTGGATGTGTGAAGTAAGAGATGGGTAGGCAGTATTCACAGTGGTTAAGTGCAAGGCCCACTGGAACCAAGATACCTTGGTTCAGGTCTGCTACCTGCTAGGTGAGTGCCTTTCAGCTAGTTCCTTACCTGCATGTCTTCATTTACAATAGGAAAAGATACTGATTGACAGGAGGCTCTGCCTCAATGGGGCATCGGAGAATTAAATATATAGTAGGCATTCCAAACGGTGTCTGACATAGTGAGCCATATGCGTGCTTGCTTCTGTCATGAGGAGAGGATGACATGAGATTTAGCCCTAAAGGGGCTGCTCCAGTTTTACTACCTGCTGTCGGTCTGGAGAGGATGAGCAGCTTGCAGAAGGCTACAAAGACCAGAGTCTGGCAGAGCTGGGGCTTCGTACCTAGAGTCTCCCGCCCCCACGCCTTCCAAAGGAACTTACTCATGAGGCAGAGAGGAGGAAGGTGCGGGAGACCAAGAGAAACCAAGAGCCAGCTCCAGCAACTCTCCCTTCTAGGGATAGTGGGACGAGGGCCTTAGCAACTTCTCCCCAGAGGCAATTCCACGAGCCAGTTGGGGGGGGGGGGCGGTGGAGAGGGGATGGGGTGATGGGAGATGGGAAGGGGGTCCTCCAGGTCGGAGCCAACGCTGTCCTCTGACACACACACCCCTGCCCCTGAGCCTGGGCGTACCCTGTCCTCTGGCACCGCGCGGCCACTTGCTGCCCCGTTGGGAGGACGAGTCAACAGCGGGTGGACGGGAAAAGTGACACAATCGGGCCGAGGCTCTCTCCGCGCCAGCCTCCCACGCAGCGCGGGGCGGCCCAGGCGCTCGCAGAGGTGCGGGCGGGGGCTGAGCAGCGGGGGGGTGTGGGCGCGGGGCGGGGGGCGGCTCTCCACACCCCCGGGCGCGGCGGCCCGAGGCCTGGGCGCGGGCGCTGTTCAGGAACGCGGCCGCCCGCGCTTGGCGGGCCGCTCCTGGGACCGCCGCCGCCCCCCGGAGTGGGGTGACGGAGGCCAGAAAGACTTTCACCAAATATGGGCCGGGGCTGGGCCCGCCGCGCGCCGGAAACCTCCAGCCCAGGCCGCCGGCAGGGGGCGGCGCGCAGCTAGCGGCCGGGTGCGCTGGGCGCTCGGGTCCTGGGCGCCCTCCCGGCGCGTCTGCCAGGCCGTTCCGCCGCCATCGCGGCTCCCTCCACCTCTCCCCGCGATCCCTCCACTGAGGGGGGTTGGGGGGGGGTGCGGGGTTGGAGGGGTGTGGAGAGAAACAGGGAGGCGCGGGGCGGCGCCTTCAAGTGGCCTTTGGCAGTCACCCTAAGGCAGCGGTTCTCAACCTGTGGGTCGTGACCCCTTCGGGGGTCGAACAGCCCTTTCACAGGGGTCGCCTAAGACCATCGGAAAACATAATTACATATTGTTTTGTGATTAATCACTATGCTTTAATTATGTTCAATTTGTAACAATGAAAATACATCCTGCATATCAGATATTTACATTACGACTCATAACAGTAGCAAAATTATGGTTATGAAGTAACAACGAAAATAATTTTATGGTGGGGGGTCACCACAGCATGAGGAACTGTATTAAAGGGTCCCGGCATTAGGAAGGTTGAGAACCACGGCCCTAAGGTGTCTTGCTCTTTGAGGCGTGTGAGGCTGGGTGTGCAGGTGAGTCCCAGGTGGCCCCAGGCAGTGGTTCCCAGTGTGTGGCTCCCCGCACCAGCCGCCGCATCAGGGCCTAGGGACTCGTTAGAGAGGGAACTCATAAGAAATTCGGGGATGGGGCCCAGCAATCACTCTTTTAACCCCCTCTCCAGGGGATTCTCAGATGCATACCTTTGAAAACCACTGGTGCAGGGCTAGGAAACCGGAGGCTCCAGGTTTAAGGAGATTATTATTCTCAATCGTCGCCAGACAGTGAACCCTTCTCTGGGTGACCTAAAATTCCCTGGCAGCCGGGGTGCCAGGGGCTTCGGAAGACAAGCAGCTCCTTCTCCGAGCTTTGTAGCCCAAGAGAACAAGGCGGCCCCTTATTCCCGCCGGGGGGGGGGGGGCACCCCTATGGGGAGGGGGGGAGGAATAGAGCCCAAGAGCCGTGCAGCATTAGCACCGGAGCAACACCTACGCATAGGCATTTGCACACGTCCCCTCCCTTCGGTCAACGCGAACCGATCTGCAGAGGCGGCGAGAAGGCGACCGGGCGTCTGGGGTGTCTGGATAGTCTTGAGCAGGACCCGCGGAGCTGCTGTTCCTCTCGCCTGGCGCCGTGGTTTACTAGCCGACGCACCGGGACATAGTCCATGGGAAGGCTGGGCACGTAGGTTACTCGGGTCGCTCAGCTCCTCCACCTCCCGGCCCTGTTTGCTACCGCTCCCCAAACCCCCTCCCACAACACATGTCCTGCTGTACATAGGCAGCGGACTGTAAGGTGAGCTGAGTGTCTCCTCTGATGGAACATCCTCCTCCAAGATCCCCTAGTTAAAGAGGAAACAAACACACACACACACACACACACACACACCCGTGTTAGAAAACTTGAATCTGATTTTTAAAGGAATCCCTGGAATGGTGCGTGTTTGAATGCAAAGCCCCTGCAAAGCAGCACACTGAATCTCTTTGCCCGGCCCCCACCTCCTCTTCGATAAAGGAACAAGGTATAGGCACAGGCCAGTTGGATCACCCACTGAAATTTTATTTTAAATCATGACAGACAGATTGCGTGGAAAACAAGGAATTCCAAAGAATTTCCTGCTCTGGGAACAGAAGTTAAGTCTATATTTAACAACATCTGAAGCTGTCAAGAATGCTTTGTGGTTGGATAACAGGCAGAAAAATGTTAAAAACGCAGGCTACTGCTATACCCAAATATGGAAATATTGTTACGTCTGGTGTCTGATTCACCATCTGGAAATACTTACAACCATGAAGTCAAATAGAAAAGACACCACAACAGAAGCCAGGGACACTCCTCTGCATCCATTCTCTTTCCACCACCTCCTCCACCCTGTACCGCCCCTACTCACTCTGGTCCCAGTCACTTCATTAAGAAGGAAACAGCAATAAAACTCTAACACGGGAAAAACCATTTTTCTAAACAATAATTGATGGATTGACCTGGGTACAATGCCGGGCCCAGACTTTCCTCACTTTAGTTGCATAACACCTGACAATCTATTGTCCTGAAGAGACACGCCCCTCCAAAAAGCCTTAGAGATCAGCTTCTCATAGCAAAAGCCTCTTAGACTTATGAGAAGGCACTTCTGAATGAATGAAACTTAACTCCTCCCTGGTAGTTCTCCTCATTGGAGGTTGTTTTCATTGCAATAGCTTCACATGTGCGTTTCAGTCACAGAAAAGTCAGCACTGAAAAAAGGCCTTCTTCAGCCAGACTGTTGAATTCCATTCAACATTAAAAAGGACAAAAGAGCAAGAGACAGGCAGCTCTACTAAAGCGCATATAAAGGGGAGACTGACATAATTTTTTGTGCATGTTTTTATTAAAATTGCACAAGGAGATACTTTAGAAACTTTGAGGGAAAGTTTATCCATCACACCAACGATGTGGATGCTGCTAAAGTAATTGCTTGGCAGGCGGGTCTTCTGCTGAGTGCGTTGCAGGTAAATAGGGTCTTTAAATCTGCTAACCTTTTTATAACAGAGTATCACACCCTAAACTCTTATTTCTCTGCGCTTAGAGAGAAAAGCATTGCAACTCCCTTGCAATGGGAGGTTTCTAAGTGGTTCCAAGGAAAGGAATTAAAAATCCCGCAAGACTTTCGGCTTTTAAGGAGTCTGCTTTTTCCAGAGATCCATTGGGCTCAATGGTGGTGGAATCTGGTTTGGCCTTCCAGCATTTACAGGTGATGATCTCCGTATAAATCACTCCACGGTGGTCCCCTCCGCTTGGGCTTGGCTGGCTGTTCAGTGCGCATCGACACCCGCCCGCCGAGGGAGGCTGGAAGCGCCTGCCCAGGCTCCCGCATCCGTGAGGAAGTGTCAGCCAGCCGCCCGGAGAACTCCCAGCCTTCATTTCCTCTCGGACTGCAACCCCAGGCAGTGGGCTGGAACTAAAGTGGGAACCTCCAAAAACAAACAAGTACGACATACCGAAAAAGGGAGGGCAAGGGGGGCGGAAGAGGGAAGACCTCTGCTTGGAACCTTGCCAGACGTGGGAGAAGTTGATTCCCACCCCACCCCCACCTTCTCATTCATAAATGACACTGCGGGTATTAATTTGCAGCACACTTAACTTTGCTAATAAACACCATGCCAAAGCTCAGGGACTTTACCCGAGCATGTCGCCTCTACTAAGTCCACAAGTAGATGCCGGGCTCAGAGATACACTCCCCCTCCCCCCCTCCGCCTCTCTCAATAGATAACTTGACTCTCACCTTCGCTGTAAACAAGCAAACAGCTCACCGCCTTCCCGGGTGAGGGTTTCCAGGGCTGCCCGTTCAACTCGGCATCACCGAACAACATGACTTTTGTTCCTCCCTCTCAGGTCCTCCTACCCTCCCAGTCCAGACAAAGTTCTGAACTCTCCCCCCCACCCACTCCCACCCCCCACCCCGACTCCCCATCCTTCCACCATCATCACGCCCAAAAGAGCCCTCCCCTATACAAGTCGTTATTTAAAGTGGAAAAACGGAAGATTGTTTTCTTGGGTCCTGGACAAAAAAAAAAAAAAAAAAAAAAAAAAAGGTGCAACGGAGCCAGGGGAGGCGCTTGGCAGCAGCCCGCGCCAGCGAGCATTCCTGAGATGTTTGAGAATTCTGGAAGGCACAGACAGAGCCGACGTCACTGCAACACGCGGCGCCGCCGCCGGCCCATATAAAAGGCGGGCTCTGCGCGCTGGGACAGACCGCGAGCGAGAGCGACCTCGAGCATCACCCGCGCCCCCCGCTCCGCCTCGGGAAGGACCTCGACAGAAGGACGCCCGCAGCCTCTCGCCGCCCGGCCCTCGCCTCCGCGCCGCCCGACCCCGCCGCGGTCCGCCCGCTGCGCACCGGTGTGCTGGCGTCTTTGCTTCCGCGCTCGCCGGGACTCCTGCGCGCCACCATGAGCTCCCGCACGGCCAGGACGCTCTTCACCGCCGTCACCCTCCTCCAGTTTGCCCGGCTGGTGAGTTCTGCCGCCTCGGCTTCCCTGTCCGCTCTCACAGCCCCTCGTCCTCTCCCCAGGCTGCCCACGGCACAGAAAAACTAAACGAAAAAAGTTCGGGGACGTTTCGGGTACCTCTTTCTTTAAGTTTCCCCTTAAAGAGGTGTCTGGGGCCTCCTGGCCGACGCAGCCCTGCCCGGGGTGACCCGGCCGGCTGACCGGATCGGAGACCCCCGTCCCTTCCCTGGGCGCCCCTCCTGCTCACCGCGCCGGGTCTCACGCGAGTCTTCTCCCCCCTCCAGGCGCTCTCCTGCCCCGCCGCCTGCGACTGCCCCCTGGAGGCGCCCAAGTGCGCCCCGGGAGTCGGGCTGGTCCGGGACGGCTGTGGCTGCTGCAAGGTCTGCGCCAAGCAGCTCAACGAGGACTGCAGCAAAATGCAGCCCTGCGACCACACCAAGGGGCTGGAATGCAACTTCGGCGCCAGCTCCACCGCTCTGAAGGGGATCTGCAGAGGTAAGATGCTTGTGGTTTGGCCCCTTTAAAAAAATAATAGTCCCCGTAGTCCAGAAGTTTAGTAATTTTGAGACCATGTATGGTGATGCTTTGTTGTTGGTAGCTTGGCAGAAAGGCACATGATTTCAGCAGTCTGGAATGCAATTCAGTGTGTCTGGGCCCAACGAAAAGCGCATACGGAAAAGTGATTCCTGACTAACTTATTGTTCTGGTCTGCAGTCTCTGGGGAATTGTAGGGAACTTTACCATAAATTGAATTTAACAGCAGAAATATGTATGAGTTTCAGGCCGTGGTTCGGACTCTTAACTTGATCCTCTTCTCCCTTTCTCTTTTGGTGCTCTTTGCAGCTCAGTCAGAGGGCAGACCCTGCGAATATAACTCCAGAATCTACCAGAATGGGGAAAGTTTCCAGCCCAACTGTAAACATCAGTGCACATGTATCGACGGCGCCGTGGGCTGCATTCCTCTGTGTCCCCAAGAACTTTCTCTCCCCAACTTGGGCTGTCCCAACCCCCGACTGGTCAAAGTTAACGGGCAGTGCTGTGAGGAGTGGATCTGTGACGAGGATGGTGCCAAGGACCCCCTGGAGGACAGGGACGACCTCCTGGGCAAGGGGCCCACATTCGATGCCTCGGAGGTGGAGTTAACGAGAAACAACGAGTTAATTGCATTTGGAAAAGGTGGCTTCCTGAAGCGGCTCCCTGGTAAGTTAAAGCTGAGCCCCTCAGGCCTGGGACTGAAATACGCTCCTAGTTTGCAGCTTTATAGAAACGAGGACTTGAATCTGTTTGTTGTCAGTAAGCCTCTGAGAAGTGCTCCCTCTTGTTTGTCTCTCTAGCTTTTGGACAGGGCCCTCGCATCCTATACAACCCTTCTCTCCACGGCCAGAAATGTATCGTCCAAACAACTTCATGGTCTCAGTGCTCTAAGACCTGTGGAACTGGTATCTCCACACGAGTTACCAATGACAACCCTGAATGCCGCCTGGTGAAAGAAACCCGGATCTGTGAGGTGCGGCCTTGTGGACAGCCGATGTACAGCAGCCTGAAAGTAAGTTTCTGCGTGGCAGGTACCTGTTCCTGGGCAGCTGGGTGAGATGGGAGCCTCTCTTCCAAGAAAGAACCCTTGCCCCTAACTTTCCTTCTCTCGGCTTTCTTACAGAAGGGCAAGAAATGCAGCAAGACCAAGAAATCCCCGGAACCGGTCAAGTTTACTTATGCCGGATGTTCAAGTGTGAAGAAATACCGGCCCAAGTACTGCGGTTCCTGCGTGGATGGCCGGTGCTGCACGCCCCAGCAGACCAGGACGGTGAAGATGCGCTTCCGTTGTGAAGACGGGGAGATGTTCTCCAAGAACGTCATGATGATCCAGTCCTGCAAGTGCAACTACAACTGCCCGCATGCCAGTGAGGCCGCGTTTCCCTTCTACAGGCTGTTCAATGACATTCACAAATTTAGGGACTAAATGCCACCTGGGTTTCCAGCACAAGGGTGGACAGAAGGGGGAGAAGAGTGCCGGAATCATGGAGGCATGGGTGGGGGCGGTGGGGGTGAAGGGACTCATTGTAGAAGGGATGCATTTGCTCATTCTTGAGTAGTATTAAGGTATTTTGAAACTGCCAGGTGTGCTGGTGCAGATGGACTCTAATGCAGCCGCAATTGGAGAATACTTTGCTTCATAATATTGGAGCACATGTTACTGCTTCATTTTGGAGCTTGAGGTGTCGATGACGTTCTGTTTTCTGTTTGTAAATTATTTGGTAAGCGTATTTTTCTCTAGGCTTCTTTCCTTTCGGTTCTGCGATTGTAAGATAGTAAGATTAGTTGGACAGTTAAAGCCTTCATCCTTTGACAGAAGTACACGGGAGGGGGTTCCATTCCTTCCTGAAGGTGACACTCTGTGAGTGTCCGTGAGAGGCAGCTATCTGCACTCTAAACTGCAAACAGAAATCAGGTGTTTTTAAAACTGAATGTTTTTATTTATCAAAATGTAGCTTTCGGGGAGGGCGGGGAAATGTAATACTGGAATAATTTGTAAATGATTTTAATTTTATATTCAGTGAAAAGAATTTATTTATGGAATTAATCATTTAATAAAGAAATATTTACCTAATATCTGAGTGTATGGCATTCCATATTTTTAGAGATTGTCCAAAGTCATTGGAAGCAATCTAGCTTATCCACTCAGTCATTCAAACCGGATTTAGTGAGTGTCTGCTTTGTGCCAGGATATGTTCTAGTGCTTGGGATAGAACAGGGAAATGACCTACAAAAATAAAACAATGATTGCTTTTATATCTTCAGTAGAGAAAGATCGTTGCATTTAAAATAATCTGCATAAAAAAACATGTATTGAATACCAGGCATTGTAAGAAGTACAAGAAGGAATCCAAAGCCAACTTTGTGACTTAAATAATAATGCATTGTTTTTATAAGAAATCAAAGCCCAGGGGTCTCCCTCACCCAGTCACTGTGAGGTGGGTACAGTAATTTATCATTTTAATCACCAGGTTATTGTGCATGTCACTTCAGGAGAGAGAAACTTTAATGAAAGCAGTCCATAGCTTGTACATATCTACACTTGGGTAAGATTAAGTCTGGTTGGATAATGTGTTATAAAAGATGGCTTGTTTATAACTTCATATTTCACCAATATTGTTTCAAAAACTACTTAAAAATTCGCCTTCGGTTGGGATCAGAGGGAAAAAAAAAAACTTTGAGTCTATAGGAGTCCGTTTGTTTTCATTGAATAAGCTCGAAGCAATGACTTGTGCTAATCCTAATAAGCTGGTGATTAGGTAAACATGCTGCTAAATGCAAAGGAATGCAAGGAATTTCAAGTACTTTTCCACTAGCATGAGGACCAAGCTACCCCACCCCCCTTTCCTTCTTATAATATACATTATATCGATGGAGGCAGAAGCAGTTGATAGAGTTGGCTATCCAGAAGGTCAAAGGCTAGCTGCAGAGGTTTCCTGAAAGAAAAGGACCTGAATCATAAGTCTAGGAGAGGTTGAGAAGGCTGCATCAATGTTTTTGAAAATGTTGGTAGCCTGTTTTAGAAGAACCTACATCTTTAGAAAGCGCTGACAATAAACCTTTTATAGAGAGAAGTTTTCCTTTCATCGACCCTCTTGGCTCCTGTTCAAATGCACAGTAAAATATTTCAGTCTGCACTTGGTTAAGAGAGTACTTGAATTTTTAGGCAATAAGAGAAAGTGCTTTCAAAGGGGAGGAGAGGGACAGTTCCCAGGGTCCTATAATGGTGATTTTTCAAAATAGTTTAATTTTGATGCTTTAATGAAGACCTACAGAAAAGCAATGCCTTAGCACTGGTTTTAAAGCCTTACTGAAATGTGTAAAGGTTAACATAAATGTGTTGGTAAAATTTATGGGCAAAGGCCTTTACTCTTCTGATTTTGACAATGTCTCGCCTGAAATATTATAATCTGTGCCTATATGTAGTCAGTGTTTCTTGCCTGAGGCTTTCAAATGTAAGGTATTTGGGAATTTAAACACCACCTGGTTCAGTCTTGGATGCAGTTAAACTTGTCAGTGCAATATAATATGTGAAACATAATAAAGGTGTGAGGTTTTTGAGGTGCAGTCGTGTTGAACAGACATCTAAATTCATTGGTAAGATTTACAGATTCCCAGGCCAATCCTGAGTTATTTTCCTCCAACACTAGTGCCTAGCAAAGTACTTCATACACAGAGATCAAGGAATGATAAATTACAGATCTTTTAAGTGTGTAGGGAGGTGATATCTGTCCAAATAAGCTCAAATGTGAAACAAAATCTGGCATAGGAAAACTGGATCCTTGGGTCATTAATCTTATTGTAGTAAATACATTAAGAGTACTGCATAACCACTGTTTCTATTTAAATAAGATTGCTCAATTAATAAAAAAAAATTATTGGATGCAAATTATGTCTATTTTATTTGGCTATAGAAAAAAGTGAAGAAAGTCAAAGAAGTTGAGAATGAAATTATGTGATTTAGAACATACAACTTTTATCTAGGTCCAGCATGGAGCTCTGCCTCCTGCAAATATTGAGAAAACAAAATAAAAACCCATACATCTGCATATGAAATGGCAGTTACACATATACATATTCATCGTAATGTATACGTACCCCTCCGCACACAGTGAAGATGGTGTGCTGTTCCCACTTTCCAATCCAAAAGACCCTGGTGGGTTTCTGTTTGTGTGTGTTTTTTGTTTGTTTGTTTTTTGTTTTGTTCTTTTGGATAGAGATGTAAGAACTCATCTCTATAAGAGTTAAAAATGACCTCAGAGTCTTAGGAATTTAGTGAATTTTAAGAAATATTCAATTGGACATTTAGAAGTATGGTAAGTAGTCAAACCATGAAGATTTTCACATAAATGTGTGTGCTGTCTACTCCGCAAAGAGGTGTGACTGGGTCAAAATTAGCAAAGCATATTTCAGTTATTTTTCTGAGAGAGACCAGACTTGATTTGTTCACAAACCTCCTCTCCTGCCATCTGGCAGTATTTGAAAGTCAGCTGAGCAATAGCAAGGATCCAGCAGGACCATGGTACAGAACAAGGCCGTGTTCTGCTCAGAGGGGCAGGTGATGCAGTGGACAAAATCCCGGGTTGGAATCCAGAGATATGTCTTTTCACACCAGCTCTGCCATTAATTTACTGGGTGACTCTGGGCAAGTTTCTGGATCGTTCTCTCCTGTTTTAAAATGGAACAATAGCCCCCAGCATTTTTGCCACTCAAAGCATTGTTTTCCATATACTCTCTTTGATGCATTGACTCCCGCACATTGAAAACTTCATCTCCGTAAGCAGTTGAATGTATGAAGTGAAACTGCTCAGGCCTTTCTGTGGGCAAAGGAACTCATCTCTATGAAGCCTTTGAAAATGTAACATCGATAGCCCTCTTTACTCTCTAAAACACCTCTGGTTATAGGATGTGGCAATCCCTGGATCTCACAGTCAGTAGGTCTATACCAGTGATGGCGAACCTATGACACGCTTGTCAGAGGTGACACACGAACTCATTTTTTTGGTTGATTTTTCTTTGTTAAATGGCATTTAAATATATAAAATAAATATCAAAAATATAAATTTTTGTTTTACTATGGTTGCAAAGATCAAAAAATTTCTATATGTGACACGGCACCAGAGTTAAGTTAGGGTTTTTCAAAATGCTGACACGCCGAGCTCAAAAGGTTCGCCATCACCGGTCTATACATTCATCTCCCTGTATAGCCCTGATAGCTGGGCCTCACTAAGTCCCTGCCCTAAATAACTCATTCTTCAAACAAAGCACATTGTAAAGCATGACAATGATGTATGTGTCCTATGAATAGAACAGATTTACTTGTGACTTATTTTATTGGTGGTGGGCAACACTCACCCATGTAATTTTATAAAATTACACAAACACTCAGATGCATTTGTTAGTGCTTTATAGTTTCCACATATTCTGCTTATATATTCTGAATCAGCACCTTTCTTATGACCAAATCTAAGCCACCATCATCTCTTGCCTGCATTACTGAAATGGCCTCCTCACCTGTGGCATATTGTATTTTCCAAAGGTGGTGGCAATAATCTCTTCCATCTCACATGCCTTTCTGCAATGTGACCCTGTTGCATCAATAGGTGGGGTTTAGTTCTCCACCCTCTTGGATGTGGGTGGGCTCTCTGACTGCTTGAATCAATGAGCATCTGAGAAGTGCTGCCGTGTGGTGCCAGTTACCAGTGTAGCATGGGCTAGGAGCTCCCCTCTCTCTCTCTCTCTCTCTCTCTGAAAAGAGCTTCCATGTAAGAAGTACAGCTCCCCTGCTACCAGCCCTCTCTAAGAAACCCACACCACTCAGACAGGCCCTTGAGGATGAGGTGCCATGTGAAGAAAGAGAAAGACCAGGGGCTCGCTGGTGTGGCTCAGTGGTTGAGTGTCGACCTATGAACCAGGAGGTCACGGTTCAATTCCCAGTCAGGGCACATGCCTGGGTTGCAGGCTCGATCCCAGTAGGGGCGTGCAGGAGGCGGCTGATCCACGATTTTCTCTCATCATTGATGTTTCTCTCTCTCTCCCTCTCCCTTCCTCTCTGAAATCAGTAAAAATATATTTAAAAAGAAAGGAAAAAGAGAAAGGCCAGGGGGCACCTGGGCATCACACAGGTGGGAAGAGACCATGTTGGCAGTGGACCCTCCAGTCCCAGCTGCCTCACAAGCCGATGTCTGTGAACAGGAGATGAATTGCCAGTCAAGTACTTCCCAGAATTCATGAGGCATAAGATAGCAGACTAATGGTTATTTTAAGACCCTAAGTTTTGCTTGTTGATTGCTACACAGCCATAGATAACTGAAACATCACTAGGTTCCGTTCTTGCCCTGAAATGCTCCATTGTCCTTCCAGTGATGCTTTAAAAATGTAAATCAGAACATGCCCATCTTAGCTTAAAGGCTCCGTGGCTTCCATTGCTTTTGGAACAACATTCAACTCCTTGCTTGGTACACAAGTCCTGAACTCTCCCTCCTTCGTACCACTCACTCTCACTCTCTATAATCTCACTTGCCTCTTCCTCTTTGAAATAAGCCAAGTGAATCGCTGCTCAGGGCCTTTGCACTAGCTGTGGCTCTGCCCTCAGTGCTCTCCTCTTTGATCTAAACTTCTTATCAGGCAGGTCTCAGCATAAATGCTACCCTCTCAGCGACCCTCCTTCACCACCCAGTCTAGAGTAGCTCATTACATTAAGCAGTTTTATTTACATCGTGGCATTTAGCACTACCTGGTAGTTTATTGTTCATTTGCTATGCCTGTCCATCTATAATCACCTTTATAACAGCAGGAAGTTTTGTCTGCTTTTTTCACCACTATAAAAGCATCACTCGACACTGTGCCTGGCATGAAGTAAATGCTCATTAATACAGAATTTATGTAGCCTTAAGCTGAAACTAAAGTAGAAGACACCCGCCTCACTGGCACAATGTCTTCTTTCTATCCCCCTTGGGGCTTTCCTCTAGTTTTTTAGCTTTTCATTCATTCTCTCATTCATACATCTACTCGCTAAACACTGTGGGCACCATCATATTTCAGGTACGGTGCTATGCAGTAGTTGGTAAAGCATAGCTCCTTTACTTTGTGTTGGTGGGGGAGACATACATGTAAGCAAAGTTAGCTAAGGTTAGGTTCAGCTGGAAGTAATGGATAACTCAAATAGCAATGCTTAAGTTACACAGAATTTTGTTTCTCTCTCATGTGAAAATTCAGGTAGGCAGTGCTGGGCTGTTGTGATGCCCCAAGGATTCATGGACCAAACCTGCTATCTTAGTGTTAATCATGCATGGTCCCCTTTCCCTGGTTCACCTCATGGCACATGGCCTCACCTTGCTGCAAAGGAGGCTAGGAAATGTAGTTTTTATCCTGGGTTGTCATGTACTGAGCACAAAAACAGATCCTGCCCTAGCCTGTTTCCCTCAGTGGTTAGAGCATTGTCGGCCCATGTACTGAAGGGTCTCGGGTTCGATTCCTGTCAAGGGCACATACCTCAGTTGCAGGCTCAATCCCCTGCCCTGGTCATGGCATGTGCAGGAGGCAATCAATTGATATCTCTCTCACACATTGATGTTTCTCTCTGTTTCTCACACTTCCTTCTACTCTCTTTACAAAAAAAAACCAAAAAAACACAAAAACCCCAGAGCTCCTGTTACTGTATAAGGGAGAAATAGTGGTTGGTACCACATAGCCCAAATATGCTGTAATAAGTATAATAAGGCACAGAAGAGGCTTATCTAAC